TTGCAATATTAAATTAAATGACGAATCTCTCGAATTTATAGAATCTACTGTCTTTCTAGGAATCACACTAGATAGTAAAACACAATGGGGTGCACAAATTCAAAGCCTTGCAGCGAAACTAAGTTCAGCAGCTTTTGCCGTGCGTAAAGTTAGACAGTACACTGATACTGATACTGCTAGATTAGTCTATTTTAGTTATTTTCATAGTTTACTCTCTTATGGAATATTACTATGGGGAAAAGCGGCAGATATTAAGAATATATTCATATTACAAAAACGTGCCGTTCGAGCGATCTACTGTATGAAGAGTCGTGACTCATTAAGAGAGAAATTCAAAGAGGCAAATATTCTCACCGTTGCTTCTCAATTTATATATTCAAATATTCTATATGTTCATAAAAATCTTGACTTATTTCCAAAAAACAGCAATATTCATAATATTAATACTAGATTTAAAGACAAACTTGCTGTCCCCAAGTATCGTTTAGAAAAAGTTAATAGGTCTTTTATGGGAATAGGTATAAAAATTTACAATAAGATACCAAAGGATATGTTGGAATTACCCTTAAATAAATTCAAAACATCTGTTAAATCATATTTACTGAGCAAAGCCTATTACTCACTAAACGATTACTTGAATGACGAGTGTGCATGGCAATAGTTGTTCATGCACTGAATTTTCATTTAATGTTAGACATAGACACCTATATAAATATACATTGTAAATAAACTGGCTTTAAAAAAAAGTAATTCAATTGAGTTTCTTGCCAGTTCTTCTCAATTGGATCTATATACCGAACTGGACGGTAGGGTAAATATAAAATTATAATGTAAAAATTTGACGTTCATAAGCGGCTAAAATGTCCTACATGAATAAATGATTTTTGAATTTTGAATTTTGAATTTTGAATGGTAACCCCACCCGCGCTATCGGTATACACCGGCGGGGCACCAGTGAAGGATGATAGGATGAAGCAGTTCAGTTAGCCCATCAAGACCAATTCTATTAGAATTAATCATGATAGTTTCTAGGAGGGACCGCGTGGAGGTCGACTTGATAGAGTGTATTGCTAGTAATGGGAAAATTAGACTCCATTACTAACAATTCCTTTCCCCCCATTATTAAAGGGTTGTCATTTGTATAAACAGTACCTTGCCTCTGAACGCTATTGACACAATAACTGGCAGAAAACGGGGCAATAGTTGTAAACTGGATTAGTAAATTTGTTCTTAACTAGAACGCTATAATCGTTAAGGTCAGATGAAAGATGGTATTTCAAACACGCTTGGATCACACAATCATTTTAACTGAATGCATCATCTTATCGTCTTTAGAAACAACGGCATAGTTCTGCGACTTACTTTTTTTATACAACTTAGAATGGCAAACAAGCTGACAGCCCACTTGATGGAAAGTGATAACCGTCGCCTATAGACATGAGCAGTACCATGGACATAACAAAGTATACTGTTTCGCCCATGACACCCCCTATGCGTTGCTATTCCTGAGGACTCAGGTGTTATTTCTCTGTACTCAGTAAATTCACTGCCATATCCCACCCTTTAAACCGAAACACAGCCATGCAGACACAACTGCTTCACGGTAGAAACACGAATGGGACAGAGGTACCCAAGTAAACGATTTGTAATCTCCGTCTCTCTCTGTTACCAGTACCTTTACTACCAGTTATTGTGTCAATAGCGTTTAGAGGTAAATAACAACCCTTTAACAGTATAAAAAAAACTAGGTACATGGCCTTCTCCCAGCGTTTTAGTCGCCTTTTATGATACTGACGGGAAAGGAAGGTGATGGGCTGTTCTATACCGGGACCACATGGGAAACTATTACATTATTACATAAATACTACTTCCTATTTCTGCAGTATTCGGTTCCTTAGTAATTGATTAGAAAACAAATGTGACACAGTATCTTACGTGGGTGGCATTGTATATCACCATGCGATCTACCTACGAAAGGTGTTTTCCATGGGATTAGGGCACCATACAAAAATACTCATACATCGAGGGCATATAATGTTTCTGTGTAATTAATTTATTACTTTAATTAATTGCTTATATTTATACATAAGCAAGGCTCTTAAGTGGCGACCTGTACATATACGTCAGCTCGTTGCCATTTTAAGTTTTATAAAAAAAATGTTTGAAAATAGGTGATAATGGAATGGTAACAATATGAGGTGATAGGTAAAGATTAAACAGGTTAGTTGGACCATAGAAATGAATTCATAAAGAATTAACCAAGATGGTTTCCAAGGTGAACCGCGTAAAGGTCGATGTGTAGTGCTAGCAATGGGGCTTAATGATGGCTTAAATTTATTGTCCTGTTTAATACTTCTGTCCTACTTGTGTTTCTGCCATGACACAGATATGTATGGTATATGGTAGTGAAAGTATAGGGTACAGAGGCAGATCTTCGTCTTCAGAAATTACAATGAATGAGGGGTATCATTGGCGACACAGTATACTATGTTATGTCCATGGTACTATTCACATCTATAGATGACGGTTACCACTTTTCATCAGGTGGGCCGTCAATTTGATTGCCATTCAAAGTTGCATAAAAAAAAAATATGCGAAACCTCAAAAACAATAAGGACCTTAACGAATTACCGATTATTACGAAACAATCGATTACTTGTCGTTCTCGATTCCGACATCCGAATTACAACTCGTTCACCAATATAATTTCATCATTCGCATTGTAATAATTACTTTGTCATTTCTCAATCATTTGTGACTTCGGCGTCCTTTATTTCATCAGTTGGTTGACTTGAGTTTAATCAATTTTAACTATGACCATAGATTCTTATTGGTATAATGAATTTGCCGCTTTTATCACATCCTCAATATCCAGGTACAGACTAAGTTTTTTTTTATTATAAAAATTTCAAATAGACATAGGGCTAGCCTTATGAAAAGAGGTTACAGTAATGTTTATATTTATAAAATACGTCAAACTTAATCTAATGGAAAACACCTTTCGTAGGTAGGTGACACAGCCAATAATTATTTATTTTATTAATTATTTATTTTTTTATTATTTTTAGTGCGTAAAAACTCATTTTATTTATTAAATAATTAAATATAGATACGTTAAGATACATTATGTGCGTAAGAATATAGAACACTGGGGGGAAAGGATTGTTAGCAATGGAGTTCGACATTGCTAGCAATATGCCCTATCAGGTCGACCTCCACGTGGTTCCCCCTGGAAACCATCGTGAACAATTCTTGTTGAATTCGTCACGGTGGGCTAACTGACCTGCTTCAGCCTCACCTATCATCCTTCACTGGTGCCCTGCCGGTGTATACCGATGGCGCGGGTGGGGTTATCACCCATTAAAAAAAATATATAGAACACTACGTGTGATTCACCTTGATCTATTTAGTATATTAATGTATTTATGTATTATTATTTATATTATTTATGTATGTTAAGCATTTTGTTTGATTCCTTTTTGTATTTACTGTGTCTGACTGGCGCCATCTACCTTTCTCTCTGTACTTATCCATTATTTACGCCAGGTTGTCTGTAAGAGATTGCTTTTAGCGATAAGGCCGCCTTTTGTACATGCACATTCTGTATAAATACTCCTTGAATCATCTCTATTGCGTACAATAAAGGGTTATTATTATCAACACTGATAAAAAAAATGAGTCAACTAATTTGACAATTAGCTAACAAAAAGTTGACTCGTTTTTGGGACTCGATGCTCTTTTTTTTCATTTATACAACTTAGAATGGCAACCAAGCTGACGGTCCACCTGATGGAAAGTGGTAACCGTCGCCTATAGACATGAGCAGTACCGTGGACATAACAGAGTATACTGTTTCGCCCATGATACCCCCCATGCGTTGCCATTCTTGTGGACTCAGGTGTTATTCCTCTGTACCCAGTAAATTCACGCCATATCCCACCCTTCAAACCGAAACACAGCCATGCAAACACTACTGCTTCACGGTAGAAACACGAATGGGACAGAGGTACCCAAGCAATCGACTTTTGTACAAAATCTCCCTCTGGTAATCTAAAGTAAAATGTTATGACATACGTAACATACATATTATGATCTGTCCAGTGTGAGAGATGGCTATGACCAGTAAAACATTGTTTTCATTACTGTGTTCACGATAACCTTAGAACTATCACAAATACATGTAGTTGTTAAGGAAAATGATAAAATATTATTAACCTGTATATTATAGATCAGATTGGATTTCTAGGAACACAAGTGTGAAAAACCACTTACAATTTGGTGCAGGTAATTATATCCAGAGGGAGACTTTGTACAAAAGTCGATTGCTTGGGTATCTCTGTCCCATTCGTGTTTCAACCGTGAAACAGTTGTGTTTGCGTGGCTGTGCTTCGATTTGAAGGGTGGGATATAGCGTGAATTTACTGGGTACAGAGGAATAACACCTGAGTCCTCAGGAATGGCACTGCATGGGGGGTATCATGGGCGAAACAGTATACTCTGTTATGTCCATGGTACTGATCATGTCAATAGGCGACGGTTACCACTTTACATCAGGTGGGCCGTCAGCTTGTTTTCTATTCTAAGTTGTATAAAAAAAAAGATTAAAAAAATAATTTTTACCTGAAAGTTAGAACAGACGGAGTTATGAGGTAACAAACATAAAAATACGAAATAATATGTTACCTCTTTTATGTACTTTGCTTTTTTTGTATATGTTGTATTGTTTTTTTTTTAAGTATGTACCAATATCTACTGTTATTTCTGTGTTCTAAGTGATGCAAATAAATTACATATCTATCTATCTTAATATACAACCTAAATGAAAACCTCTTTATTTGAAGTCGGTTAAAATATAGGCCAAACCCTTCTCTTATACTTCAACAGTGTGTTTTAATACTAACATATGACGTACTAATGCATGATATACAAATATGACCTCAAACATTCGCAAACATGAAATAACGTTATATTATATACTAAATGCTAATATAGGTACTCACTTCCTCGTCTTCCACCAATGTCGCTACTCGGCCCGGCTGAAACAAAAGACGGTTTGGTTAAACAAACTGAATTCACAATTACATATTTTGTACTAAAACTGACTTCTGATTTCATGGTTTCTTTTTAAGTTTACAATTACTAAAAATATAATATTCTCATGACTATAATCCCTAACTGGGTCGTGAAGGGGGAAAGGGATTGTTAGTAATGGGGTAATCACTGACCCATTGCCAGCAACACACCCTTTATACCGATCAGTTAGACTCCAGTCATAGGTCAGTTAGAATATATTACTAGCAATATCAGGTTGACCTCCACGCGGTTCCCCCTGGAAACCATCGTGGTTAATTCTAGCGGAATTCGTCACGATGGGTTAACTGACCTGCTTTCATCATCACCTATCATCCCTCACTGGTGCTCTGCTAGCGTATACCGATCGCGCAGGCGGGGTTACCATTCTATTATCACCCATTAAAAAAAAAAACGGGGTCGTAAATAGCATTTGTCGACTGTTACCGTTGTGACGGGCGTTACTAAGTAACAACTGACATTTCCATACTTTACGCAGTGTCAACAACCCCGCCTCAAATTCCTCGCTCATTCTTCTTCCTTTTACTCCAAATCCTTTATTGTGCAGGTAGTTCGCCTGTGGAACTCACTACCTGCTTCTATTCGGTGTGCTCAAACTCTCACTAGCTTCAAAATCGCTGTTAAATCCTATTACCTCTTCCTTTAGTACTGTTTTCCTATGTTCTCTCTACATTTGCCTCCATCATTCTCTCTTGTTGTATGTATGCTATGTATATATGTGTATTTTTATGTATGTATATATATATGTATATACTTCAGTATCTATATAAATAATAGTGCATCTATCCTATATCTTTTTCTCAATGTCCTCTACCCAAAGGTTGTCTGAAAGAGATTGCTCAGCGATAAGGCAGCCTCTTGTATCACTTCGCATTAATATTTACTGTAATTAGATAGATAGATACTCTTTATTGTTTCCTCCAAAAGATTACAGTAGTAAACTTGTTATAAATATAAACAATTACAAGAAATGATCACAATGAGAAAACAATGGGCGACCTTATCGCTAAGAGCGATCTCTTCCAGGCAACCTTTGGATGGAGAGGAATAATTATATTAGTTTTTTTATGCAACTTAGAATGGCAAACTGACGGTCCACCCGATGGAAAGTGGTAACCGTCGCCAATAGACATGAGCAGTACTACGGACATAAAAGAGTAAGTATACTGTTTCACCCATGACACCGCCCATGCGTTGCCATTCTTGAGGACTTAGTTGTTATTCCTCTGTACCCAGTAAATTTATTTGCCATATCCCACCCTTCAAACCAAAACACATCCATGAAAATAAATAAATTAATAAAATAAACTTTCTTCATTTCGCCGAGCATCTCCTCCATCACAGGAGGGTTCGCGCGAAATTAAAATTGACCAGATTCGAGCACTAATTAGTGACACTACAATACTATTAATTATACTACGTTATTCATAAAATAGATAACACGCACACTCGTACACGCACGCCCCCACGCATGCACGCACGCCCTGACACGTGATACAATTTTTTCAATCCAATCAATAAATTTAACCTGTAAAAAGCGGGGGCGAGTCGCTAATTTCGAATAAAATGTGACAGCAAAAAAAAAGGTAATATACCAATGTAATAAATACTCATTTTGTATCTACGCATAAACGCCAACTACGCAGAAGCGTAAACTATTTCGTCTGGGTTGAATGCTCTGATAGAAATAGAAATAAGGTTATACGGTTATATCGAGGACTATTTGTGCATGTAACCATTTGTCCAGATGTATTTATAATTAATCGCAAGAAATTCCTTTGTATTCACGCTCAATGGTCATTATAATCCGTTTTTTTATGCAACTTACAATGACAAACAAGCTGATGGTCTACCTGATGGAAAGTGGTAACCATCGCCTATAGACATGAGCAGTACCATGGACATAACAGAGTATACTGTTTCGCCCATGATACCCCCATGCGTTGCCATTCTTGAGGAGTTAGGTGTTATTCCTCTGTACACTGTAAATTCACTACCATATCCCACCCTTCAAACCGAAACACAACTGCTTCACGGTAGAAACACGAATGGGACAAAGGTGCTCAAACAAAAGACTTTTGTACAAAATCTCCCTCTGGTGAAATATATAATTTTTGATTATAAAGATAGAGTATCTCCATACAAATGCTTCGAGAAAAGCGGGTCAACTTTTTCATACAATTTTGCGTGATAAATAGTTATGAGTGTTCCCTTTATAACTTCTATAGTTATTTTATTGAATAATTAAATATAGATACGTCAAAACATATTGTATGCGTAAGTATATAGAAAAATAACAAATAAAAACGAGTCAGCTAATTTGACAATTAGGTGACCACGTGTTGACCCGTTTTTGAGGCTTGATGCTCTATATAATCTAAGTATATAATGAAAATAATATAATATATGTAATGATAATTTAAACGATATAAAATTGAATATTAATTTTATTTTTCGCCTTTTTGTAAAATGTTAACATTTGCATGTCTACATCGCTTAAGGCAATTAAACAGGTGCCAAAATAGTACCACGTGACTGTTGTTATTATTTTAAAGTCTGCTTATTGCAAATAAAAAACTAATTAATAATTGAAATGCTCTTTATATAAAATGAAAATAAACTAGTTCTTTGGGTGAATGACCTAATACAAATAGAAATAAAAGTAGAAGAGATTTGAATACGTTTATTAATTACCGACTATTTGAACACTTGAATGTTTGTTCAGAATATTTCTTTGAATCGATGGCAATTTGTGTGAAATAATGTTGTATTGTATTGTACCAGCCGTTAACTATACACTACTGGGGGGAAAGGGATTGCTAGTAATGGAGTTTGACAGCCTCATTGCTAACAATATGCCCTATTAGGTCGACCTCCACGTGATTCCCCCTGGAAACCATCGTGAACAATTCTTGTTGAGTTCGTCGCGGTGGGTTAACTGACCTGCTTCATCCTCACCTATCATCCTTCACTGGTGCCCCGCCGGTGTATAGCGTTAGCGCGGGTGGGGTTACCATTCCATTATCACCCATTAAAAAAAACTGTTCACTACTGAACATAACCTCCCCATAAGGGGGTGGGGGGTTACTCATAGTTGCCACGCTTGGAAGGCGGGTTGGCAACTGCAGTTTGGCTGAAATAATTTACTCACAATTAAGTACCGTTTGTCTTAAAGGAATTCAAGATGGTTTTTTATAAAAATATAAACATAGTTGAGTATGTGTTAAAATTAGTACCGGGGAGGGGGGGGGGGGGAATGTAACTAAACTGTACTGGTATCAATATCAATAGGATCGCCCAGTAACTACGTGCAAGCAAGTAGACGGTACTTTTTCGATGTTACTTTAAAAAGAACAGAGTTGGCCAAGCAAGCTTCCCTCTCTCTTGCTTCAATGCAATACTGCTCAATGATATTTTGAGCCTGTATCCGCAATTGTATGTATTTGCCTCCAACATGCTGGAGTTTTGTCGGATGACCACAGGGTGTTTGTGTTCAGAGATTTTGTGTTATTTCTAGTTAATCTATATTATTATTTCTAGTTATTTTTTTTATATTATTCTTTTTATTTATGTGTATTGTTCCATTTTTATATATGTTGTTGTACTTATGCTTTCCTGGGTGAGCGTATTGGAAGATTGTAAAGCTCATCCAGTTGATGTAATGAATAAATTTCATTGAAAAAAGTTAGTTGTGTTTGTGGCTGTTTGTTTTAATTTAATGATGACTTTTTTTTTATTATTTTTTATGCTAATCGACGATACATATATATAATGTAAAAATTTTGTTATGTAGTTTATGTAATATTTATTAATGTGATTGCTGTGCCCTTCCAGGGTTCATGTTGATTCTATACTTTTAGTAAATTAAGACCAATATTGTTACAACATGTAATAGCAATAAATAAATGAATGAACGAATGAATGAAATAACTGTGAGGAAATTAAAAAATTAAGGAAGTATTTATTGTTCAAAGTATTTAATGCCCTGCATTTTTTTTTTAAATAACGCGATTACTTTGTAAATTCTGAACCGAATTAGATAATTAATTTTGCAATCAAAAAAATTTTTATGCAATTTAGAATAGCAGAGAAGTTGACGACCTACCTAATGGAAAGTGGTAAACGTCGCCTATAGACATGAACAGCACCATGGACATAACAGAGTATACTGTGTTGCCCATGACACTCCTTATTCTTGCAATTCCTGTGAACTAAAGTGTTATGCTTCTGTATCTTGTAATTTCACTGACATAGTCCACCTTTAAACCGGAACCTTACACAGCCTATGAACACAACTGCTTCATGGTAGAAACATACAAAGAATACGAATGGTATAGAGATACCCAAGCGGACGACTTTCGTACAGTGTCGCTCTGGTAAAGTGTAATTTCCTATAGGTTCTAAATTAAATTTGTCATAAATTAAGCCTGTTTTTTTATGGTTGAGCTGACAATGCATAAACTGTACAAGTTTATAACTTGTACAGTTTATGTACAAGTTATAAACTTGTACAGTTTACGAAAAAATAATATATTAAATGTAAGCAAAGATTAATCGGAAAGTGCATCAGCCTTGATACAATGCCAACAAGATATGGCTAAGGTCGAAGATTCGATTTTTAACTACCTACCTACCTATATTTACTCAATGGAGGAAATAAGCTGCGTTTATTACTCGTGACGCCATCTAGTGTCGAGACTTTCTAGGCTACATTCATTTTCACTATATATGTATATCATTGGATGATTAAATATGAGCACAAAGTTCGATTATGCATTTTATTTTTAGTATCTTTTTTTAGTCTCTAATTTTGTTTATTGTAGTCCCGGCGTAGAATAGGCCACCCCTTCCTTTCCCGTGGGTGTCGTAAGAGGTGAATAAGGGAGGGCGAGTGATGGGCAGCAGCATTCCTCTTAAAACATCTCCAAAGCCTAACTGCGGTTGCCAAATATGGCAACTACTGGCAAAACCCTCTAAGGAAAGGATTATGTTTAGCAGTGGATAGTTAATGACTGATATGATGATGGTGATGAAATGTGTTTATAGGTTTCTTTGTAACACTAAACAGTAAAAAAATTAAACAAAAGATTATGTGACAGTAGGTAAAGCATCATATTAATTTTATTTAACTAATAAAATAAAATTGCAACTAGAAAATGTCTGTACACTTTGTACTGGCTTCATTCAAAAGCTACTTTATCAAATTGGATGCCATTTTCACAGTTGCATCCTTGAAGGTTTAATTTAAAATCTAATATATGTTTCATCTTATATGCCACCAAAATGTGGTACATTTTTTGTGTTTCTACATCTGAAATCCACAGGTACAAAGTAGTGGACAAAAGCTTGTAGTATGTATAGTAAAGTTTATATTTGTATATGTGGAAATACACTCGTTCTAGATAATAGAGAGATGCGAGTTCGAATCTCATTGGATCAAACTGACAAAAGGTGTAACCTGGTATTTAGAATCAATTAATTAATTTAATTACTGTTGAAAGTTTTCGTAGACAGTACAGTTCTAAGGTCAACCATGTCAATCTTGGATCTAATGTTAATCTAGATGCCCTTTAGAATAGATGATACAAATACAGTGCACTCACTAGGCTGTGAAGCAGTCCATAGATGCATGAAAGTCCCGCCTGTGCACGGTGTGGGTGTCTGCATTATGTTTGTTTGCATGATTAATGGAATGATAAGACAGATTCTACTCAGAACTCCTGTCCTCACTGCTGGACAATGCACACAACAAAATCTTGTAGTTACTTAATTGTTGTAACAAATAAATGATAATAAAACAGATCAGTAATTGGCATTTCATGATATATAGATGAAACGTTAATTGCTGAATCAGTAGATAGTTTATTGATGATCAATTAACCATTTGTACACTTATATAGTTGGAAAAGTTTGATTTCATTAATGGATCTTATTGATTATTGTTAAAAATTATTATAAATCATTCTTTTACTCATCTACTAATGTATGGTTCAAAATATTAGTATATTTGATGATTTTTATATATAAAAACAGTTTTTTGTTTCCAAAAATTAAAAACATACATAATCTCAATATAAGATATAAAAATAGATTAAATTTACCATATTTCAGAATGTTAAATAAAAAACCTTTTTATATGGCAGTAAAAATATATAATAAACTACCCCTAGAAATAAAAATGAAAGCAAACTAAATAAATTCAATAAAAAAATAAAATACTATCATTTTGAAAAATAAGAATATAGGAATATTTAATATAGATAAAAGATAACTAGGATTATAATAAATAAATTACATAAATATTGGGAATTGTTATTATTACTGTATATTAATTAACACTATTTTTTTATTGTGTTAAATTGTATAACCATACACATCATATTTGCAATGTCCCTTCAAAGGATACTAAGTTAGCTCTAATGTAATATATATATATATATATATATGAAAATACCCATGTAAAAACCACTTATTTGCAATAAATTATTTATTTTAAAAAATCTCATCAGAGAATATTTTTTGTTACATTTTATTCTATCATTTAAAGAAAAAGAAAATAAATATTTTATAATAGTATTTATAATGTTAATTATTCTTTTGTGTTTACTCTCATTGTAAAAACATAAGTAATTTTTGTAGAATGTTATAAGTTTATTTTACAATAAATATTTTTGGATATATGATGATCTCATTATTATTAATACTGAAAATACTAAAAAAAAAATGGCATATTAATAGAAAAAAAAAAAACAATATAAACAAATACTATGTATAATGACATAAATGGACTATTTTCTCATTTAATTTCAATGATTTTCTATTTGTCAAAAATATGCTCCGTCACCAGTTTTTAGGATGATTGCGCAGTGGGTACCCTTATTAAAAACTTGGTGACAAAATACCTTTCATCTGCTTACATTACATTTGAGACAAACAAGCAATATTATACAATAAAATATTCAAAATTCACTCACCTGCGATTCAGTGCCTCGATGTGTAGTATTCCCTTGGTAGAACCTCCTGGAGAAACCCTTCACGTAACCAGTGACGGCTTGCTGATATTCAAATCCTGGATTCCAGCACAATGAGCCGTAACCAAAAATCCAAAGTGCCTTCTTACAAGCCACCGCATTGTCGTTTTGCTCCTGCGATATTTGCTTCGAATCTTCTCCAGTTTGTTCTACTAATTCTGCACGGTTCTCCATCTTCAATGAAGAATTCTGAGCTTTCACCGAATCGCCTATTTTCGCGACACTGCGGTTTGAAATAATATACTTAGTGAAAGTGGGAGTGTGCCGCGTTCAAATGGACTTATCACAGATATTTTGTTCACTTTATTATTCTACTTGTGTCTCATTGTCGGTAATTGGTATACGCGAACACTATAAACTAACCATTAGGAACGAAATAAATCCAATAAACTAGTATCCATGATGCCGCTCGATTGACAACTGCCCGTTTGACAGATCATTTCTTTACAAAAACCTTTCGTTCCAAATGTTATTCATAGTTACTTGATAATAAACTCTAAACTTATAGCCTTTAAGTTTAGAGTTCTATATTAATACAGTTACATGCTTGGCGGTATATTTTAGTGACGTTCTGTTTCAAGCAAATTCTTCTTCTAATAATAAATTCATTTTTTTAATTATTTAAGAAGTCCTAATAATTTTTTTTAAGTTTAATAATAATAAGAAAGTATCTTAAACCTGTATATTATGGGATCGGTAGTTATATTTATGATTACTAAATAAATCATATTTAATTAGGAATGTCGTATCTTAGAGTTTATTTTATGTGAAATGGAACTTTTTAAAAGATGACCAATAGCAAGATGATGTCAAGGTTAACGTTTTTAACGACGCTCATTGGTGAATTGTACTCTAGGTGAGAATGATGCAATTTTTGAAAATCTTTCCGTCTTTCCAGCCTCCAGGCATTCCTTTGTATTGATAAAGGGAAAGGTGACATTGTGGTATTGTTTTTATTATCGGTATTTATAATTTTATTATAGGTTTACAATAAAATGTTAAGCAAAATATTAAGTATAAAAATGTTAAGTACTTAGGTATTTAGATTATATTTCGCCGATGTTTAGTGAATCATTATTATATCAAAATATTGAAATCTGAAAACCTGTGCTCATAATCAATAGACTACTAATCCAATAGGTTTATTTAAGTATTTATTATTTAATATAATTAGGCATTTTATTACAATTAAGTATAATAAATTAATCATATTTCCTTTTAATAAAAAATACTTTATGAGTTGTTAATGATGGAGATTATTAGCATTAATTAATTAATTATAGTATATAAATTAGAATATGTAAATATAACATAAAATAGTTAAATTATAAAAATTACACTGCAAGTACATTTCAATTTGCTATCATAGCTTTTTCAAAATAATGTATCAGAAATACTGAAAATTCATCATTATTTTTTTTTATTTAAATTAAGAGATAATTTCTGCGTTAACTTTTTACTTTATGGACGCTTCTTAAATTATTATTTATATATATATATATATATATATATATATATATATATATATATATATATATATATATATATATATATATATATATATATATATATATATAAAAATATATTATATTTTAATGATTATTAATATACCACAGAATATAGTGTAAATAACAAACAAAAAAATACTAATAAACAAATAATTATTAAATAATAAATTACTTAAACTATAATTTAATATTTTTATTTAATAGTTTTTTATATATTAAATTAATTATAACTTTATTAATAAACTATTATAAGACGAAAGTGCCTGCTTGAAAATTATAAGCAATAAAAAAAAATTTACAGTTAAAGTTTATTTATAACAAAGCATACTTACCTGTCATATAAAATATATACTTTAATAATTATAATTTGACATCTCTATTAGTATTTAATATAATTTATATATTTATTATATCTTTTTTACTATAATTTATATATTTATAGTAATGATAATTTAATATATAAGTATAATAATTTATACAAATAATGTAGAACTTTGTTGTCAAAGACGGTTATAAATTAATTTATTTAAGTGGACATTTTGAATTTAATACTTACACTAATATTCAACTAATTAGAGTTTATGAGAAATATTTAATATATTGTTTATTTAAATTATTATATCTTTGTACTAACACAGTCGGTGTTGAAATAAATCAAGTGTTCCGAAGGGAGTCCGTTTAAATACTCTGAAAGTGATGCAGCCGGGAATCCTATTCGGGCTTGAGTTTGTTTTCAGAGATCCGCAGTCGAATCGGAAAAACCCCAGAGCGAAGTGGGAACGAAACGTCATAGAAGTAGTAACGTAAATCTATATGTGTACAACGTATGGAAACCCCGGTTTGTTTACCGCGTCCACCTGGAGATTTGCTAAATGCAAGAGGCGGTTTTCAGTGACGTCTTGTTTCATGAGGAAGCTATTAATTGTTACATAGGTACTAATAATTCATCCGTGTGACAGGCGTATATTGATACATCATAATCATTTCAGACATAGGCCTCCCATAGCCAAAGGACATAGGTTCTAACAAAATTTAGAATAAATAAAAACATTTTAAATGAATAGAATAATAATAAGTATTTATTTAACTTTTTATTGCATCAAAAAACATGAAAATAAACAATAACATAAAAAATTTACTGATTATGTAAAAATAATGTTGTATTTGTTATTTCTCTTTTTACTTGGTGCAATAAAGTGTAAATAAATAAATAAATGTTCATAAAATTGAAATGTGTTTGGATTATTAAGATTTGTGATCAAAGATTTAATTAAGGAATCGACCTAAAAACCCCCAGTGTTGGGCATTGAGCTGTCACCGCTAGGGAGCCTATCAAGAAAAAAGAACCATCGAAATCGGTTCGGAATTGGCGTTCACGTGAAATACACACAAAGGAATTAAGAACTGTCTCCTTTTTAGGCGATATCAATAAAAGGGAAGCTTTTATTTTGTTTCTTTTTTTGTTTATTTTATTTAATAAAAATTACTTTATGGACTATGGAATTCGTATACTCTACTGGATAGACTTCTTAGAATACTTTGTAATATTTATTTATTTATTTATTTAAACTTTAATGCACTATTATATAAGTAAGTATACATATGGCGGACTTAACACCTAATGGCGTTCTCTACCAGTCAACTATGAGGTGAGCAGATAATTAAGCAAGCTGTACATTTACTATTAAAATATGTATATGTATATATTATTACATAAATATTTACGTTTATTTTCTATGCTAATATTAGAAAGAGGAAACATTTGATTTTTTGTTTGTAATGTAGTTATAAAAACTACTCAACCGATTTTAAAAATTCTTTCGCAAAATAAATAAGATTATTTATTTATTTATTTTACACTTTATTGCATAATATATAAGGTAGTAAATACAGTGAATAGTAATGAAAAGTGACACAAAAGGTGGCTTTTATCGTCAAGCAATCTCTTCCAGACAACTTTTGGGTATATATATATAATAAAATAAACAGGCCAAACACAATAGCAAACATACAACAGTACAGAATAAAAATGGAAGACGAAGAGAGAACACGGAAAATAAGAAATTAAAGGGAGAGATAGTAGGACTTAACAGAGGTATTATTTGTGCCTATACAAAGTTAGTTTGTGCCTATACATTCTGTTAAAGCATTAACAATTTATTCACTCCTGCGTATAATGAAGCGGTTTCAGCGGTAAAACCAATGGACGACTGCTAAGTTATTAATAGATAATCACGCACAACATCAACCAGTCACAAGAGTCGCTCATCACGACATCGCGAGAACGCCAATCATAACGCAGGAGAAATTTACATGAGCTTTCAGGTTTTCAAAATTGTAACTGACTCGCAAAACAAACTTCAACGCATAACATCAAATATATATTACATCAACGATTCAAATTATTATCTATTTTATTTACCCTAGTTAAATCGCTGCAAATACTAAGTGTATTTATTCATCATCATCATCATCATCATCATCATCATCTGTTCATCATTAAACGCAAGCGCACATCATTAACACATTCTCAGGGAGAAATATAATATATATACCTATATTATTTTCGAAAAAAGAGGTTTCAGAGAAAAAATTCATCGTTAAATCAACTCAATGAGCCACAGGTCTTAAAAAGCTACGGAACAATAGTTTTATTTTTCAATTAATTTATTTAAAATTTTGTATTATTTCCTAGTAATCAGAATGGGGGGGGGGGCGACAAACCCACCCACTGATTTTCAGATTCCAATTGAATAAATAGTTTGGAAATTATCCAATATTTGTTTCTAAATAGGGCTGTCAAATGGAAATATATTCATAGAATAAAAACAACTGAAAAACTATAATTTTAATAACTCTTTCACCGAATAGAGAACTACATTATGAGCAGGACTATATGTTATTTCATCAAATGTTGGTAATTACACGCATACTAATGGTAGCGGAGTTAAACAAAATAATTCTAATTAAATAACCAGTGATATGGACTTCAGCAAGTTAATACCTAGTTTACTAAAATATAGGAAAGATTATTTTCCCAGGGCCTAACCACGCTTTTGGGGGGGAAAGGGATTGTTAGTAATGGAGACTGAAAATCCCATTGCTAGCAATATACCTAACCAGGTCTATCTCCACGCGGTCCCCCTGGAAACTATCATGATTAATTCTTCATGATGAATTCATCATGATGGGCTAACTGGCCTGTTTTCATCCTCATCGATCACCCTTCACTGGTGCCCCGCTAGCGTATCCCGTTAACGCGGGCGGGGTTACCTTTTCACATACACATAATACATTTTCATTCAACAAAAAAAAACCACGCTTTTGGGCATAGTTGAAAGCTCCACTCGCATGTCAAGGTGGGCGCCTGACAATTCTTAGGTGGGCATGGCCCACATGTCACCTCCCCCCTCCCATCTGAATATACCTATGGTTATTACTGTCTATTGTGTGGTATATCTGCTTAATTGCCATTCTAAGTTGCATATACAAAATTTAATTTTACGGTTGACAACCCTAGCTAAACAAGCGTTTAATTTTATAACACGAACGCTTCTGTGGAGTAACGGGTATAATGAATGCTTCGGAAAATCCGGCCGTTTTCATTAAATTAAAAACGACATGATATCAATAGGGGGTTCCCGATATAAAGGGTTATTCTTATATTTTTGTTTCTTCTATTTTTAATACAATAAATAAATATACAATAAATATAAATTATAAATAAATGGCTTTATGATTTTGGCATAGAATAGCCACTCCTTCCTTTCCAGTCGGTGTCGTAAGAGGCGACTAAGGGAGGGCGAGGGATGGGCAGCAGCATCTCTCTTTAAACATCTCGAAAGCCTTACTGCGGTTGCCAATCCGCCTGCCAAGCGTGGCAACTACTGGCAAATTCCTCTAAGGCTGACATGTTGATGATGATTATAAACAAACAAATAGTATTTGAGTCTAACACAAAAATATTTGTGAATAGCTCCTTAATAGTTTATGATGTAAGGATGTTTTTTTTAATGGATGATAATGGAATGGTAACCCCGCCTGCGTTATCGGTGTATGCTGGCGGGGCACCAGTGAGGAATGATAGGGGAGAATAAAAAAGCAGTTAGCCCAAATGAATACACTTGGAGAGGGGGGAAACGGATTGTTAGCAATGGAGTTTGACAGTCCCATTGCTAGCAATATGCCTTATTAGGTCGACTTGGTTCCCCCTGGAAACCACCGTGAACAATTCTTGTTGAATTCGTCACGATGGGCTAACTGAGCTGCTTCATCCTCACCTATCATCCTTCACTGTTGCCCCGCCGGTGTATACCGATAGCGTAGGCGGGATTACCATTCCATCATCATCAATTAAAAAAAATACACTTGGAATTCAGCCCGATGGTTTCCAGAGGGGACCACGTGGTGGTCGACCTGACAGGGTATGTTGCTAGCGATAGGACTAGTAGTCCGCGTTACTAACAATCCGTTCCACCCGATGTAAGGATCTAAGTGGAGTAATTTGTATGTGAAACACAAAATTAATTATATCCCGGTCAAGCGATATATCGTCATAGTCATAGAATACTGACTTTCTTCCACGCACAACCATTCTTTGGAATCAACTTCCAGCAGCAGTATTTCCGAACCGATACGACAACATAACCTTCAAGAAAAGAGCATATTCCTTTTTAAAAGGCCGGCCACACCTGCAATAAGCCTCTGGTGTTGTGGGTGATCATGGGCGGCGGTAGTCACTTACCATCAGGTGAGCCGCATGCTCGTTTGCCCCCTGTGTTGTAAAAAAAAATCTGACAAATATTACATATAAAGATCGGTCAGTATTCTACGACTATGACGATATACCAGTTATGTGAACGGAATCACGGATAAAAACTAGTGTTGTAATTCTTTGGTCTGTTAAATTTTTTTTATTTTTATTTCTAGTCCAAATTCGTTATGGAATAACTCAACAACAGAGGCGATGCGTTAGCTCTTGAAACACAAAACTTCGCGTACATTGTAGGCATTTGTTTTATAATATGAATAAATAATCAAATTTGTGAGTAATGTGTTAAATGTGGATTAATTGTAGTGTTTAAACAGTGAGATTAAATCTTATCATATTCGGTCGATCCGTTGTGACTTTAATGGCTCATACGATTCTCATGAAATTTCAAGTCATACTGTTTGGAGGCTCCATTTTATACCGGTCAATTAATATTTTCGGTCGACAAAGCTGAGGGTAAAAACTAGTTTTTGAATGATAGAATGAATGAGTATACTTATACGCATGAAGAAAAAAAAATGTTACTAATTTTATGCATTCTGATTTTGTTTTTGATTTTATTTTTTTATTTTTTGTACATGTATCTTTTTATATCTTTTTTCACTTTGCATTTGTGTCTTTCGCTGTTTGTGTGCTGTAAGTAATGCAAATAAATTATCTATCTATCTATCTATCTATTTGCATTATGCAATATAGGAAGTAAGCAAGACAATTTACAAACACAACGATACGATTGTATAAGTACAGTGAGGCGGTCTTATTGCTGAGAGCAATCTTTACAAGACAACCTTAGGGTAATGGACTAATTGTTGTACAAGTAGGTATGATAGTGCTGTATGATTAAAAAAAGCATCTTTTGCAAATTTTTTTTTTTAAATGAATACGACAACGAATTTTAAATTGCAATCCATATGAATATTAAACAT